CGGAGCTGCTGTGGATGGGGGTGTCTGGACGTTGTGGAGCGTGGGGGGGGGGTGCGTCGGTGGTTTCCGGGAGAGAAATTGCGGGCTGGGAGGACCCAAGAACAGAGCTGCCGTGAGTGGGGGTGTCGGGACGTGGTGGGAGCGCGGGGGGGGCGTCGGTGGGTTCTGGGCGAGAAATTGCGGGTTGGGGGTCCCAAGAGCAGAGCTGCCGTGGATGGGGGTGTCGGGACGTGGTGGGAGCGTGGGGGGGGCGTCGGTGGTTCCGGGCGAGGAATTGCGGGTTGGGGGATCCCAAGAGCAGAGCTGCCGTGGATGGGGGTGTCGGGACGTGGTGGGAGCGTGGGGGGGGGCGTCGGTGGGTTCCGGGCGAGGAATTGCGGGTTGGGGGATCCCAGTGAACAGAGCTGCCGTAGATAGAGGTGTCGGGACGTGGTGGGAGCGTTTGCCTGGGCGTCGGTGGGTTCCGTGCGAGAAATTGCGGGTTGGGCGGAGAGGCATTGACGGGTGGTGAAGTGTCAAGGAGTGAGGTGTCGATGGCACTCGTGTAGGCTTAGCACAAAGGATATCGCACACGCCTCTAGGGTCAGCGGATTTCTTTCCGTCGTGCCTTTGCGCTTGTTCCCCCACGCTGCCGACATTGTCGGAGATATTGGAAGAGATGTTCGCGACAATATGTCGCGCCGCTCTGCCAGCATTGAATTCAAGAGGCCTTCGCCGGACACACTGTTTTCCAGCCGGACATATACCTCCACCGATTTGCTGGTTGAGATTCTCTTGTACTCGATTTTCTGAGGGCTTTCTGAGCGCGTGTGTATCTTCTCCCTCCCTCCTTGGGCTTCTCGTCCTCCTCCTGTGCTGGTCCGTTGTCCATGCTTGAATGGGCCGGCACGCCCAATCAGGCCTGCCAGGTTTCATTGTTGTGCTTGAGGTCTGCATCACATTTCCTGTTGAATCATCGTGTGCGCTCGCATCCTCCCCCCCCAGAAACAATTCTTCTTGACCTCCTCCTCCTCCTCCTCCTCCTCCTCCACGTCCTCGTCCTGTCCTTATCCTCCTCCTCCTCCTTATTCTGCCCTTCCCCGTCCCCCGTCATCTCGTCCTTCTTCTCCCTCCTCCCTCCTCCCCACCCACCAAACCACCCCAACCCAACCCGAAGGCGTCAATGTGCCCTCCATTTCCAGTGTGGGGGGTTCGGGGAACACTGAATAAACACATGGCCCCCCCCCAAACCCGAAATACAGGTCAAATTCGGGTCTTAGGGTTGGGTTTGGGTGGTCTGCTGGTAGGTCTCCACTCCTCCCCTGGGGCCGCCAGGACGCGCGCCTCCCCACGAACAAAAATCTTGTTGACCTCCTCCTCCTCCTCGTCCTTATCCTCCTCCTCCTCCTCCTCCTCCTCCTCCTCCTTTTTCTCCTCCTCCCCTCCTCCCCCCTTTTCTCGTCCTTCTTCTCCCTCCTCCCTCCTCCCCCCCCTCCTCCCCCCTCCTCTTGTCCTTTTTCTCCCTCCTCCCTCCTCCCCCCCCCTGGGGCCGCCAGGACGCGCGCCTCCCCGCCATCCTCTTCCCCGCCCTGTTCTGCTCCAGCGCGGCGGGGCGCGGGCTGGCCGCGGCGGAAGGCCCGCTCTCTGCGCGTTCTGCCGCGCCGCCGCCCGCGTCGTCGGCGTCGTCGTCGTCGTCGTCGTTTCGGTTTTCGTTTTCGTTGTCGACGTTCTCGTCTTCGTCTTCGTCTTCATCTTCGTTTTCGTCGTCGTCGTCGTCCTGGTCCTCGTCCTCTTCCTCGTCCTTGTCTGCGCGCTCTGGCGTTGCAGGCGAGTGCTCGCCCCCTCCCCCCCTCCCTCCCTCCCCCCATGCTTGGCGAGAGCCCCCCAGCCCTTACCCCCGCTCTCTGAAGTCCGAGGGGGGTTGGGTGGGGTTCGAATCCCCCACCCCCTGTCGCCGCCAACAGTCATCGTCGTCGTCGTCGTCGTCGTCGTGGTCGTCGTTGTCGTCGTTCTCGTTCTCGTCCTCGTTCTCGTCCTCGCCTCGTCGCCGTCGTCGTCGTTCGTCGCGACAGGCGTCATCTCCGTCGCCATTGCCGTCGCCGCCGCTGCCGCCGCCGTCGTTGTCGTCGTCATCGTCGTCGTCACGGGCTAGTCGGTGGGGCGGGTGGGACACGCCGGCGTCTTCGTCGTCGGTGTCGTAGTCGTCATCAGGGTGGTTGTTCGAATCCAGGGTGTGGGGGGGAGTGGGGCTGGGACATTTCGTCGTCGTGGGCGACTCGGGCGGGCGGGCGGGACACCTTGCCGCGGCCGCCGTCGTCGTCGTGGTCGTCGTCATCGTCGTGGTGGAGGTGGTTGTCGTCGTCGGCGTCGTGATGGTCGTCGTCGTGGTGGTGGCGGTGGTCGTCGTCGTCGTGGTGGTCGTCGTCGTCATCGTGGTGGTGGTGGTGGTGGTGGTCGTCGTCGTCGTTGTTTTTCCTTCGAGGGGTGGGTCTCCGAGCCCTCCTTCGACTCTACTCTCGAGAGGGGGGAGGGGCGTCAAAGGCGAGCGGCCCGCCGCTGGGCTGTTGCAGCGGGGCGCCTGCGCGGTGCTGCAGGAGCTCCAGGCGCTCGCTCGGTGTGTGGGCCATGATGTTGATGCTGCTGCTGACAATGATGCTGAGTATGACGACGATGACGACGATGATGCTGATGATGCTGATGATGATGATGACGATGACGACGACGATGACGATGACGATGACGATAATACACTGATGATGATGAGGATGACGATAACGATGACGATTACGATGACACTGATGCTGATGATGATGGTGGTGGTGATGAAGATGGTGTTGGTGGTGATGATGCTAATGTTGTTGATGATGCTGATGGTGATGAAGATACCGATATTGATGCGGACGAGGATGATGGTGGTGGTGGTAGTGACGACGACGACGGCGTCGACGATGGTGATGATGACGACGACCACCACGACGACGACGAGAATGATGATCGGGGTGAAGATGACGATGATGCTGATGACGATGATGATGATGATGATGGTGATGATGCTGTTTCGGCTGCTGCTGATGATGATGATGATGTTGGTGATGATGATGATGATGATGATGATGATGATCATGGTGATGATTCTGATGATTAGGATGCTGATGCTGCTGCTGCTGATGATGATCATGATGATGATGGTGGTAACGACGGTGCTGCTGCTGAATATGATGATGCTGATGATGCTGATTATGATGATGCGGATGATGGTGATGATGATGGTGATGGTGGTGGGGATGATGGTGGTGGTGTTGATGATGACGGTGGCGATGGTGATGATGGTAGTGATGGTGATGTTGACTATGATGGTGATGGTGATGACGATGATGCTGGCGATGTTGATGATGATGATGATGATGATGATGATGATGATGATGATGATGATGCTGATGCTGACGGTAACTGGTGCTACAAATGATGCTGTTGATGATGTTGATGATGAGGACGATGATGATACTGATGGTGAGTATGACGATGCTGATGCTGAGGATGATGATGGTGATGACGATGATGCTGTTGCTGCTACTGCTGCTGCTGATGACGATGCTGCTGCTGATGATGATGCTGCTGCTGACGATGCTGTTGCTGATGATGCTGCTGCTGATGATGATGATGATGCTGATGCTGATGCTGATGCTGATGCTGATGCTGATGATGATGATGATGATGATGATGATGATGATGATGATGATGATGATGATGATGATGATGATGATGATGATGATGATGATGATGATGCACGCCCGCGCGCGAGATAGCACGCATGCAACGGATGCGAGCCGCCCCCCTAGCTGGGCCGAAGCGGGGGAGCGGGAGAGTCTCGTCGGTCTGGGTGGGGAGGGGGATCGGGGTTTGTGTACGTACCCATCGGTTGTTGAACATATGTATTTTTGGAGTCCCAGATTCCAATCTGTTCTTAGCGCCTTCCTATTTCAATGATCAAGCCGCTTCACCTTTTCCGTCCTTTCTGAGGGGCGGTCGGACACCCAATTTTTTTTCAACGCGTTCTTACTTCATGTTTCTACCTGCTTCCTCCGACCGATGGGTATCCAGGTTTGCGGACGTTTGGGTCGGTCTTCGGCGGTCTTCCAGCCTCGGGGTGCGTTCCAGCCGCCGCGCCTCGCCGAAGGCCTTTTGGGAGGTGCCAGGATCGCCCCGAGCGGTTGCCAGAGAGCCGAGTCATGGCCCGTAAGCCAGGGAGCGCCGAGAGTAAACGCTCATTCTTCTTCCTCTTTTGATGGGCCCATTTTACACCACCACTACCATAGGTAGGAGAGGAAGGAGGAGGAGGAGGACCTCCTCATCCTCCCTTCTCCCCCATCCTACATCTGGTAGAGGTGTTGGAAAATCTGCACATCATCTCTCGTATTCAACCTGCTGCATCCACGTCCCTGGTACCCGTCCCTCTTCAGTGCAGACGGGCGGTGGGACCAGGCGTGTCTGCCGACAGTCCAGAACGCTCCACAAGGAGGGCGCGAACGTGTGGAGTTTCTTGCGGCGAAGCACCGAGGTTCGAAGTCGACGGACCGCCAGCGATAGCGCGATAGCCGCCCGCCCCCAAAAAGAAAACGGACGTCTCATCGTTAAGGGTTCGATCATCGACTTTCCGTTGCTAAGCACAACCGTCCAGTTTCCGCGCCGCAGGCCGCGGGGAACTGCTGGAGCCCGCCGAAGACCGTCAGGAGACCGCCGAAGACCGTCCAGGGCCGATGGGTAGGAAGCAGTCCGTGGTCGGAAACGTAGTCATCGCCTCCTCCCTCTCCGGCGCCTCCATCTCGACACCCTGTGGGGCCTCCATGGCTGGGTTTGATCCCTGAGGGGGGGGGCGGTTCTTTGATTGACAACGCAAAGGCTACCCCAGAGTACAAGAAAAACGGGTCCCGCCATATCATTCCTCACCAAGTAGTCCAAAGTCGCGCTCTCGCGCGGGACCTCCTCACAATTTCTGCAGGACTCGCTCGACATACTCAGGAGTCACGCTCTTGCTTTCAAGACTTTTTCGCGATTTACCAGGGAATCGCGCTATCTTTCGAGAGGTCCTCGCGATTATGTTTCCTGCAGTAAGGATTCTTCAATAAGGGTTCCTTAGAAGGGATTCCTTACTCAGGTTCCCATTAGTAAGGATTCTTTACTAAGGGTTCCGTAGTAGGGATTCATTTCTAAGGGTCCCGTAGCAAGGATTCGTTATCAAGGGTTCCTCAGTAGGATTTCTTTCTGGAAGGTGCAGTTGATGCGAGCTTGCGTGGGCACGACATGTCCTGGGAGGTTATGTCGCTTGCAGGCGCCGTAGCCTCGTCGACGGGACCTCGCAATCGAATTAATTCACGCCAGAGGCCGGTGCGATGCGATGCGGTGCTCGCCCCCCGCCCCCCTCCCCAGAGGGGCGTCAGAAACCCTGCGTACCTCCCGTGGGGAGCGAATGAGAAGCTCGCCCCATTGGAAGGGGCTTAGAAAGCCGGCGTTCATTTGTTGTTGTTGTTGTTGTTGTTGTTGTTGTTGTGTTTGTTGTTTGTTGTTTGTTGTTTGTTGTTTGTTGTTTGTTGTTTGTTGTTGTTGTTGTTGTTGCTGTTGTTGTTGTTGCTGTTGTTGTTGTGTTTGTTGTTTGTTGTTTGTCGTTTGTTGTTTGTTGTTGTTGTTGTTGTTGTTGTTGTTGTTGTTGTTGTTGTTGTTGTTGTTGTGGTTGTTGTGGTTGTTGTTGTTGTTGTTGTTGTTGTTGTTGTTGTTGTTGTTGTTGTTGTTGTTGTTGTTGTTGTTGTTTTTGTTGCCTTGTTTGTTGTTTGTTGTCGTCGTCCCACCCGCGACCCACCCGCGACGCACCCACGACCCACCCACGACCCACCCTTGACCCACCCCGCGACCCTCCCGCGACCCACCCGCGACGCACCCACGACCCACCCACGACCCACCCTTGACCCACCTCGTGACCCACCCGCGACCCTCCCGCGACCCACCCGCGACCCACGCGCGACCCAGCCGTGACCCACCCGCGACCCACCCACACTGGTATGACGAAGAAATCGGCGCCTGCGGGGTGCTTGTTGTATAATTTGTGCAAACATCGGCGGCTGCGGCGGGCTTCTTGGGAGCCTCGCAGACTGCCGATGACTCCACTATCCCCTCACTCTTATCCGCAACTGCGGGGTGCTAGGGTGCTGCGTATATCCCACGGGGGTGCGATGGAAGACGAAGAGAGCTGGTATTGAGGGTTTGGGATAGACGTGTTGAACGGCACGCGAGCAGGCAAGAACGAACAGTCTGCAAATGATAGAATTATCATTTCTCAAGAACCACGCCCCGTGACTATTGTGTTTGCGTTTTTGTAAATCAAAGTGTTCCTTCTGGGGCTCGCACCCTGTTGTTCATCATGGAAGGTCCGTGGTCTCCAAACTGTGCCCCTGGCCACCGGTTTACAACAACAGGGCTCCCGCCTGATACTTCTTCACAATTGGTTCCCAAATCGCGCTTTCGCGCGGGACTCTTTCACAGTTTGTGCATGGAAATCGCTCTCGCGTGGGACTTCCTCGCAATGTCTCTCGATTCATGCAAGACTCACGCTGTAGCAACCCCCCGCCTGCTCGACCTGGCCGCCTGGGCCCGCCTTCCCGCCCCGCCTGTTCGGGTCTGCCCGCCCGATCTGCCTGTCTAGTTCTGCAAGGTGTTTTCCGCTCGTAGCCGCCCCCTCCTGCTAATTTTTCTCGAGCTCCATCCTTCTCCCTCTCCCTTCCATCCGTCCTCTGTGTTTCAAGGCTGCACGAATGCACGTGGCAGGTAAGAGAGATATGCTGCTTCACGAATGCACGTGGCAGGTAAGAAAGATATGCTCCCAAGGAGGTACGGTCGAAGACGAAGAGGGCGGCGGGTATTAAGGGTTCGGGCTTTGCATGTTGAATGGCACGCGAGCAGAAAACAGCGAGCAGTCTTACACTGATTGTTGTTGCTTGTTGTTTGTTGTCGTCGTCCCACTCGCGAACGGGCCCGCGACCCACCCACGATCCGCCCGCGACCCACCCGCGACCCACCCGCGACCCGCCCGCAACCCACCCGCGACCCACCCGCGACCCGCCCCCTCACCTCTTATCAGCAACTTTGGGGTGCTACATGCGTACTTCTTGTCAGGATCAAGGCGACACGTACGCTGGCTGCGATGCGCGCCGCTCGAGGCGGCTCCCGGGCCAGAGTGCTCATGGGTCAGAGCTCTTCCTCTGCTGGCCGCTGCCAGCGACTTTTTTTTGGGGGGGGGCCTGCCGCGGGCTAGCGGTGTGCCGCCTGTGCAAAGCCGCGCCGCTATCTGACAAATGACGTGATGGGCCCCCTTCCAAGATTATCCGCCCGCCCAAGTGGCTGGCGAGGTGCTGCATCGTGCCACTTGAGGCATCTCGTCTGTAGACCTCGCCATCTCCGAGGAGGCTGTGCGAAACCGCGGGGGTTGCGAACTTGCATTTTTTCTCTGGCTGCGTTGATGCTTTCCCTCAGCATGCATTGCTGTCGATCCACTGGCTTGCGACGTGCCTGCTTTGCAGACATGGCGAGCCACCCTCAGGCGCGCGGGTGCCCAGATATAGGTTTCTTGAATTCAAGAAACCAGTCCTCGCACGGCGCGGTTGCGAGCTCTAACTCGCGACAGCTTCGAGCAGACACGTCCGAACCCCACGAGCCCGATCCAGATCCCCCCCTCCTCCCTCTCCTGGCCCCCCCCCCCCGGATGGTGTGGTGACCACACCGCGTGGTGAGCCAGTGGGGATTCGGCGGGGGTGATCACGGTTTTGGTACGTGGCTTGTTCTCCGACGAGATGTCTCGGGCAATCGGGGTTTCCAGGGATCCAAGACCACGCGGTGACGGACCGTGCGGTGAGGTCTCTTGGGATTTGGAGGCCACCACACGGTCTGCCGCCGCGCGGTTTCGGGACCCCAGCCTTCGGAGGGTGAATTACTGGCCCCGCTTTGGCTTCCAGGCAAGGTCAAGCCGCAGCACGCGCCTCCTCGTCAAGAGTCCTGACCTTTGCGGGTCACCCCAAGGGTAGCTCTTTCTCGTCTGGTCTCATTGGGGAGCGAGGGTGGCCGAATCGAGGCACGCTCGTTTACCTCTTAAGCGCCTGGGCCCCCGGAACTGGGGGTGAGGGCGCGCGTGTAAACGTGGGCCGCTTGCGCTCGCGAGAGGTGGGTGTCTCTGGAGGGAGATCGACGGGGGGAACGACATTCTTTTGTCACCAGCGCAGGAAGAGCCCAGCTGCGGAGGAGGGAGGAAACACGACGGACGATGGGGCGACACGACCGGGGGAGTGGCACAAGGAGGAGCAGCAGGAGGAAGTTCCTCCGCCCTCCTCCGACCCCGAAGCTGGTGGCTGACCGCTCCAGCTGGATCTGGGACCTGCGGAGCATCGCCTGCGCGCTTGAGCTCGCGAGCTGCGCGTGGCTGCGGGCACTCGACGAGGACTGGCGCCGCCGGCGGGTGCCCTGCGGGGGCTGCGAGGCCCTCGCGGGGGCAGGGGCCGTGTCAGGGGCAACGTGAGGGGGGAGTTGTTTTTTGTAATTTTTTGATTGCCTTTGCTCTGGCGCGTAACGGTCGATGCCTGGTCCATCCCCCCCCACCTGGGTAACAGTAACGATCGTTCGTATGGGGGGGTCTGTTTCCTTAGATGATCATGATATCTTGGGGGCGTTGTCTGTCCATTTTCAAGATCGACGTTTTCTTTCCGTTCTTTGGCGGTCGCAGCGCATCCCCGCCCCGACGTGCCCCGCCCCGCCCTGGTTAACGACCGCTACAGGAAATAATAGTTGATAAGATAGCCTATCATGGGGTTTTCGAGCTTTGGAGATCGAGGTTCGAGGCTCGCTCCTTGGACGTTTCGGATAGTCCGTGGGCGCACTCGTGATCACGGCTGGATCCGCCTCGAGGTTCTGGTCAGGACGCACCCCCCCAGAGAGGTCCAGGGATCGAATTTTGACCTCTGGCTCACGGCGGTTCTTCGAGGTTCAATCTTCGGGCGTTTTCGTCGGCTCTCGACGGTTTTGCAGCCTCGGTCTGCTCTCCAGCAGCTGTGCCTCGCCGAGGGCGTTCCGGGGGTGCCTGGATCGTCCCGAGTGGCTGCTGGAGTTCCGACGAATCATGCCCGCAAGCACATCGACCCCCGATCGCCCATTCATCGCCGATAGGGGCATATTGCCGATCTATTGGCTATTTATGTCCGTGAGGGCTTCGCCCTCTGCCGCCGGCCACCGTTCTATCATAATTTGACATTCTAGAGCTATGTTGGGATGGCCGGGCGAAGCAATATCCGAACCTCATGCAAGGACGGCTGGTGCTCGTGACGTCATTTGCAAGGGATCGTGGGCTCGGGAGCACGAGTCTGGCGAAACTTACGAGGATTGTGGTTTCGGGGGAGCGAATCTGGTGTAATGTATGCAGGGTTCTGGCCTCGGGAGCACCCACCTGGCGTAATTTCCACGGGAACCTGGCATCGGAAGTGCGACTCTGGTGAGAGTTTCAAGGGGTGATGGCCCCGGGAGCGCGAATCAGGTGTCAGTTGAGAGTGGTTCTGGCCTCTGGAGCGCGACTCCTTGCGTGATATGGAAGGCGTTCTGTCTTCGGGATCGCGACTGTAATATGATTAGAAAGGGATGCTGGCCTCGGGAATGTGATTCCGGTGTAGTTTGCGAGGGGTTATTCTCTCGTGGGCACGAATCTCATGTTTTCTCCCGTGCCCTGCATCTCCCCAGACATTTAGAGCACGCGGTTCGGGCGTGGTGGCCAGGATGGTTTTCGGTTCCCTCTCACGCGGACAATAAGAACAGGTCATTGCGCCAGTATCTCACAGCGGATTTCGTTCGGATTTCAATAGGATTGACCCGCAGAGTCCTGGAGAATTTCGTTCCAGATTTTGAAGTGAATTTTTCTTGCGGTTTTTTTGTTGCCCAGGAGTGAAGACTAAAGACATCCACGCGAAATTAACTTCGTTTTTCACTCGCCTATTCGGAGCTTTGCATTGGCAGAAATCTACGCAACAATCCACTGCAGCAAGCACGTCTGCAAGGTCGGTGCAGTGAAATTTGGAGACTGGAAATTAGTATTGGCGCAGGGAGCAAGAAACCTCCGTCACGCGGCCTGATGGTCCACGAGGGGGCTGGCGGATGTTCCCCCCCTGAGTTTGTCCCCTCTAACGTTAAGTCGGGCGCGTCCCTCTACAGGAGGAAAATTTAAAGATAGCAAAAAATAGTATGGGGACGATTTTTCGACTATTTTCGATTATTTCCCTACCTAGGCTCTGCCTAGAAGGGTTCTTACTCGGTATACTTAAAGGGCCGGGCAGTGCAACTCGCCCCGGGCGGTTCCCCCAGTATCCGCCCCGCGGTTCCCCCAGTTACGTCCCCTTAGCTTAGCGTTGCTTATCTCATCTTAGCTTAGCTTATTTCATCTTAGCTTAGCTTAGTTTCATCTTAGCTTCGCTTAGCTGTAGCTTAGCTTAGCTTAGCATATCATAGCATAGCCCAGCATAGCATAGCATAATATAGCGCAGCATAGCATAGCATATCATAGCATATCATAGCATAGCATATCATAACATATCACAGCGCAGCGTAACACATCATATCATAACATAGCGCAGCATAGCATAGCATACCATAGCCTAGCATAACATAGCGCAGCCTAGCGTAGCATAGCATAGCGCAGTATAGCATAGCATAGCATGGCATAGCATAGCATATCATAGTGCAGCATAGTATAGCATAGCATATCATAGCAGCAAAGCAACGGCAAAGCAACAGCAGCAACAGCAAAGCAAAGCACACGCAACGCAACGCACAGCAAAGCAACAGCAAAAACAAAGCAAAGGAAAGGCAACGCAAAAGCAATGTGCAACAGTACGATCAGAGAGCCCACCCGGTGAGCGAATGCCAAAACATGCGTGTGAGTGCGAAGGCAAAGCAAAAACACAACCAAGCAAACGCAACACCAAGCAAAAGCAAAGGCAACTACGACGATGAAGAGAAGGAGGAGGACGGCGTTTACCGTTACTACTAATGCTGCTTTCCTAGGGGCTCCAACTCCTAGGTAGGGTCGCACTTTTTTGTTTTTAACATTTTTTTCCAGCAAGATCCGCCAGTTAGGACGACATGCCCGACCTAACCCTAACGTCCGTTTCGATCCGATCAATCCGATTCGACATGGATTCCGGCCTGCCTGATCCGATTCGATTCCGACATTCCAGCGATCCGATGCTCACCACCCACCAAACCACCCCAACCCAACCCGAAGGCGTCAATGTGCCCTCCATTTCTAGTGTGGGGGTGGGGGGGTGGGGAACACTGAAAACATGGAACCCGTACCCCCCCCCAGTCCGAAATTCGGGTCAAATTCGGATCTTCGGGTTGGGTTGGGGTGGTCTGGTAGGTAGTCAGATGCGGATGCCTGCGCGGCGCTGCTGTGCATCCTGGCGCGGCAGGTCCGATTCGATTCCGACTTTGTGTCGATCTGATCGGACCGGGCCAGGACGAGGACAGATCCTCAGCCACGCGCAGAGGGGGGTGGGGTGAGGGGGGAGGGCTTCTTAGAAGCACCCCTGCTTCGTAGAAGGCGCAGATCTGATCTACAGATGTAAGGCCGGCGCCTTCTAAGAAGCAGCCTCCTTCTAAGAAGCCCTCCCCCCTCTCTCCACCCCCTTGTGCGCGCCGCCAAGATTCGTTCCAGAGCAATCTAGAGCGCTGTCTCAGCGTCCCGGAACGCTCTGAGGAGGCCGCGACGCCCGACGCTACATCCTCCAGAGCCGCCAGATCTTTCGGACATTCTCGATTCGTCCTCGCCGAATGTGTCCTTGCCCTGGCTTCGTCTGGTGTGCACCGATCCGACGCGCAGTCCGATCCGACCCGAGCGCGTCCGAGTCGGTGCTGACGGACCCTGCGCGGCTCCTCCTCTCGCGCCGTGGGCGCTCTCGGAGGCTCTCGCGTCGCCACGGCCGGGCGCGGCACGCAGAGCGGGTCGGGGCCGAGCCCGGGAGGGCCCCAGGGATAAGGGGGGCCACATGCGAACCCCACCCCTACCCCCCCGTTTTCGGAATCGTGGGGTGTAGGGGTAGGGTTCGCATGTGGCTCCCCAAGGGATCGAGTCCGAGCGGAATTTTTTGCTTGAGGGTACCCAGACAGCTCCGTCAGCACTGGCGCAGAGAGGGCAGAGTCAAGTCGGGCATGTCCCTCTACAGGAGCAAAAGTCAAAAATAGTAAAACAATAGCCTGGGGACGATTTTTCGACCATCTTTGAGCATTGGTTGATTATCTGTTGTATTTTCCGCAATCAGAGCTTGCCTCTGCAGGGGTCCTAGCGGATTCATATGGTTAGGTCAGCAGTGGCGCCGACTTCGGCGGCACGCCTGGGTGCCCAGGTGCCCAGGTGCCCGGTTGCCCTATAGCCCTATAGACCTATAGCGCTATAGCCTTATAGCTCCATAGCCCTATAGCCCTATAGCCCCATAGCCCAATAGCCCCATAGCCTCATAGCCCTAAAGCCCCATAGCCCTATAGCCCTATATCCCTATAGCCCTATAGCCCCATAGCCTTATAGCCCTATAGCCCTATAGCCTTAAAAAGATCTTGATTGGGATTTCTCCGTTATCATTTTATTATTCGTCGAACATCCACCTGTAGGCGGACATGCCCGACCTAAGGGTAGAGGGGGGAGGGTTTCTTAGGAGCATCCCTGCTTCTTGAAAATGCGCAGGCCTGCTCTGTAGGCACAACGTCGGTGTCTTCTAATTAAGAAGCAGGCTGCTTCTAAGAGGCCTTCCCCCCCCCCCCTACCCCCTCTTGCGAGCCTTGCGAGACGCCAACCAGAGCTTCTTCAGCACTGGCGCTCTTCTTCGAGTCCACCGCCATGGCATGCCCTTGTGCACCGCTCGGAGGGCACTGGTTTGCGACGGGTCTGGCGGTAATCCGGATTGTCGGTCCGCCGCCCCCTTTGGCTAACTTGACCATGTCGGTTGCGCAGGTCCGAAGGGGGTACGCAGTATTGGCGCGCGCGGGCACGCGTGGGGCTGCTCAAAGTGCAAAGGTTGGGTAATCGGCCGGCACGTCCCACCCCCCCGCACTGGATAACCGGGACTATCGCGGAACAATGCGAGACGATCTCGAATCGTGCCCCACGGTCTCGAGGACCTGTCGAGGAGAGTGTTGGTATGTTACGTTGCATTTTCGGGGGACCTCGTCTGTCCCCCGAATTGATGTCGTTTCTGGTGCCTGGCGCGCGGATCGATGCGGGCTCGACGCGGACTTGGCGTGGATTCGACGCAGACTCGTCGTGGAGTCGACGCGGATTCAACGAGTTCGACATGGATTCGACTTGCATTCGACGCGGACAGGGGCGCGACGGGACAGAACAGGTCCCCCGAAGATGCAACACAAGGCATGGAAAGTGTCCACGTCCACCCTGCCCCAGGGATATCC